TTTTACTCTGGAACAGGGTCAGGGTTCAGAGGGCTCAGCATGCAGCACATCCCTACCCTAAACGGGCAAGAGTACCCCCCCAGGAGTTATTCTTGCTCTCCCAAGCTGTTCCTGCTCAATTTAGTCATTTAAAATCTCATGTAAGTTCTATTTTATTATCCTTTAATGTATAAATGACTTGTAAAATCTTTATGGCAAATTATATCCAAATTCAAAGTTCCAATGTTCATTTTGTGATTTATTTTTTAATCTAGGTTTTAAAGTATCCACATCAGACTTTTGAATACTTCAAGTTCCAAGCCTTGTCTACCATTTCTAAACGTGGCAGCTCTTGGCTAAACTCTCTCATCCCAAAAGCACAGATCCAAACCCTCTTACTGTTGTACCTCTACCACCAACTGTCAGCTAGAGTGCTGTGGTTTATTGTGCCGTTAGTGATCTTTTACATCGCAATGTCTGGTTTGATTATATTCTCCCTTCAAATGTTCCATGGACGGGCGTCATTGAAAAAACTCAAGAATTTTTCTCATCTTTTGAGAAGGTTATAATTAATAGATTATATTCTAATATTCAATTATCAATAGCTCATATTTTAACTAAAATAATACGATATTTCATATTTTACATAGAGGATATTACATGGGCGCGTGGAGATACGAAATTTATCTTCGAGTGTTGAAAAGATCTCTCATGAGTGAGCGCAGCGAACGAGTAGGAGATTTTCAACATGAGAAGGTAAATTTCGTATTTCCAAGCGCCCCTGTAATATTCTGTTTATTATATAATTATCCATGAAATCAACTTAACAAGCTTTTTATTATTGTAAAGAGTTTTTATTCATAAACTAATAGCTTAAATACACATGGTAACGATATTTTGACATGTGAAAATAACATGTTATTTTCACATGTGAAAATATCATTTTTTCGAAAAGGAGAAATATAGGTATTTTATGGATAATTATATGATAAATAGTTTTATCCTGCTGCATAATTTTAACATTAATTTATTGCTAGATGATTGCTACACATAGAATAATTTTTTTGGGTGACATTGCATGATGGTGTACGTGTACTGCTACGGCATTTTCTCTCACAACTGTGAAGTTCATGCCTGGTTTTCATGTGGGTTTGAGTCCTGGCTGAGCCACATTAGTTATGTGAGTTGAGTTTGTTTGATGAGTTGATCTCTCCACTCCCTTGTGTCAATGTTTATTTCTCCCTTGATTTTCGTAAAAATCAACATGTGACTTGAGTGTTGTTTGTTGTAATTAAAATATAGAATGTAGTGGTAGAGCGTGTGGAGCGAACCTCATGAAAGATTCCTTTACGGGAAGTGATGGTGTGAAATATAGATTTTTAAAATTTATTTCTTATTTTCTAATTAAGTTTTAAATTTTTTTTGGCATGCATGGACTACAATTTTTTCATTTCTGTTTAATGTATAAATTTAGGTTTGATCCAAGGATAGATGAAAAGGAAGCAGAAAGAAAGTTTATATGGAAGTCCATTGCTCCGTACATTTGGTTTTTTGTCTTTCTTCTCGTAGCTGTGGCTGTCTACCCTTTCTGTGATAAAACATGGATACCATGTTCAGAACTGTCCATTATATCTCTGTTTTTTACCGGTAGGTACAGCCACACCCTGCCATCTATCTAATAATTAGTCATGCTACCTCCGAAGATATCCTCAATCTCGTCTTGTTATTAGAAGTTATTACTCCTTCAGCTAAAAAGGGTAACATTTTGTTTCTACTTGTCCTCCAGTTTCAGCCTTGAGAGGTCTCCCAGATGAATATGATGATTTTACACTGTATACTTTAGGACTCAAGGTCTTAACTATGGTGTTATGCAGTTTTAAGGACACCAAAGGGTTATGGGTACTCTGTCAACCTCTTTTAATAAGTAAGTAGCTGCCTCTACAATTATCTGAATTTTAGGTTATTGGGATACCTGTGTAATTGTTATTTCATATTACATTTTTCCATGTTTTTCCATGTTTTTTTTCATGCAGCCTGGCATAGAGTTAGGAGTATGTGGATGACCACATCATAGTCATCGTATCATCATCAAAATCACTACCACCATCAGTGCCACCATTATCATCATTGTCACCATTAACATGACGACCGTCGCTACCACTGCCAGGTGCCACCATCATCATCACCACCATTATTACCATCACCATCACCATCATCATTTTTATCACCATTATTATCATCACTATTATCATCGCCACCGCCATCATCATTAGCATCACCATTATTATCATCACCACCATCATTATTATTGTCATCACCATCATCATTATTATAATGATCACCACCATCACCACCACTACCATCATCCTCATCCTCACCATCATGTCCATCATCATCATTGTCATCCTTGCCATGATTATCATGATTATTATTATTGATCCTTTGTTCGTATAATGATACCTAATTTAGAAAGCCTAAACTCTCTCTTGTTTGCTTAAATTTTTCTTGACATGATCATTTTTCCACAGTTCCCTTGCCATATAAGCTGGAGATGCACATCAGCATCCCAGGCGTACTTCATGTAGCCATCCTGGTGATGCTCATCATCATGGCTGGCCGTCATTCCTGGAGAGGCATTTACAAGGTTCTTATTCCACATCTTGTCTGTCTTCTTTGGTGGCAAATGTTTACAGAATTGTTTGTCCACACAACTTGGCAAAGTCTCACCAGGGCATCTATAGGCTGGATTATTCTCATCACCATGCTTCCCCTTGTATTTGTCTACATCGTTGGGGTATTCTTGGTGAATTTCCTCCAATGGTTTCTTATTCTGGACCTTGCCATGAAGCTGGCTGTAACAGCTATTGTTATAGCTGCATCATCTGTCATTGTCTTGTACTCCAACCTTGAAATCCCTGAGGATGTAAGAAGGAGACGAAAGCAAGTCATGATAGTCATGGCTTTGGTGGTGTTCTGTCTTCTGGGGCCTATATTCTACGTCAACTACATCCCTGTTAAAAAGGGTGCTCATCGAGGGATAAAACTAACATGGAAGAGATATGATGCTCAGTGTGGACCTACAGCTCATAAAGATCACACTGAGGCAGCTCTACAGGGCATGTGTGGGGATTTTGAAGGAGAAATAGTCACTTGGAAAGGCACTGTTACGTCAGCTAAGGTTGCTAAGGTGGACAATCGGTTCAGGACACTAGTAACTGCGATGCCTAAGATTTTTCGACCAACGTTGAGATGTCTCTTAGGAGGAGAAGCAGAAAAAGACAAACAGGGGTATGTTTTTGCTACAGGAGTTCTTGAAGTGATTTGAATGTTGCGTTATGTTAAATATTCGTTCTTTTTTCACCTATCCATCTATTCATTCATTTGTTCATCTATTTGTGCATTGCTTAAAATCCATCTATTTGCTCCTCAATCATGTATTCATCCATTCCACCTGTTCATCCATACCTCTATCCATCCATCCATACATCCATCTTATTCATTCATTCATTCATTTACATAACAACCATTCCTTAATTTTCCATAGTGATGAAAAAGAACCCAGTTTATCATTTGGGTGGATCTTCAAGCGCAAGTCTTCCACTGGTTGCAACCTCAAATCGTTTGACAGGTACACTTTTCTTATGGGTGTGGAGTTCATGTCGAGTGAAGGTCCCTTGGCAGCGATGGTGACTGTGAGTCATAAATACTATGAAACAATGATGAAACTGAGCAAGGGAACGAATGTAAGTACGATAATCCAGGGTGGGAGGCACAGTATGTTCTTAATTTCATAATTGTTCTACTACAAAAATCACTGAACGAGACTGTAGAATAGGCCCAAGTTGAACTTAYGACAGCCACGCTCACTTGTGTAAGATTGTCCCACCCATTTTTATTGATAAATTCCAAGCATTTCATATGTATTTGGTCAAGATAAAGCCAAGATGTTACATTCACCATTTTCCATACATCAGTTCACTGGTCAAACACAAAGCATTCAGTCGAGGTTGTAAGATTCRAATTTGAATAATCCTTTGAAAGTACCTTGGCACCTTGCTTGAGCGCTTTGTGTTTGACCAGTGAACCAATGTATGGAAAATGGTGAATACTAAAGACTATGATGTGAAATGTTTGGAATTCATCAATGAAATTAGATGGGGCAATCATACAAAATTGGGCATGACTGTCGTAAGAAAACTTGTAGCCCGTTCTACAGTTTGGTATTTTTTTTATCAATCAATCAATCAGTTTATTCAATCTACCTTTCTGGAAATATAGTAACAAGTATTCAAAATTGTATGATATAATTGTAATAACAATAATTGTACAAATATGTAATAAAAGAAATAGTGATTGCAGATTTTATAACTGAATGTATATATATATCCAGAAGGAAGACACCTAAAGAAGAAACCATAGGCTTATATTCGTGAGGTGTCTTATATAAGCTAGGGTAATTTAGATATAATTATTTTTGAAGTATTAGTGTTATTTAGCAGCATATGTTGACTCAACATGACGTATAGGACTTTTGTTTGATAAACATGATGCATGCTGGTCTAGTTTGGGTACAAATGGCACCATATAAGGCATGATGAACAAAATTAGTTTGTACCCAACTACACCACAATGCACTGAAAAGGTCTGTGATGCTAACCAAACAAATAACCAAGTGACAGCCAATTCCCCCAATCCACCTACTACACCACCAACCCAATAGCCAACCAACAAATCTACCCAACCTCTACAGTAACCCACTCACATAGTTCCACCCTTGAACCAAGCTATCTACCCATCAAATCACCTGCATGGTGGTCACGATATTCCAGTCTCTATAAAAAGGAGTTGTGCCAGTTAAAATTTCACAAAAAGATCCTTGACTCGCAAAGCATCCTGGTTACTTCTGGGTCATTAAGATATTTGAAATTGTTCTCTACAGATCACCATCAAGGCAACATTGAACGAAGGATTGGGTTCAGGACTAATAACCATGGATCTAAGAAGACTCTTTATTGATGGAGCTCCAGTCAAGACAGAGGTAGCAGTTGAGAAAGAAGATCTGTACATGGGGGTAAAACAAGCTGGGAGATACTCGGTGCAGTTTTTCTTCTCTCCTTTAGTTAATCAAAAGGGTTCATTTGATTATGATGATGATGATGATGATGATGATGATGATGGGGGTGGTGATGGTGATGGTGATGGTGATGACACAGGCAGCGTAAAGGCTAATAAGGATGACAAAAATAATAATAATCAGAGCCAATCGTAACTGATGATTTCAGTCTTTTTTTTAAATTAATAAGTTGCCCAAACTCATCAAATTTATTCTTTGCCAAATTAAAAACCCAGTTTGTTTGCAATCATTCTCAATAGAATGATATAAAAAAGACATGGCGGCCATGTTGGATGATATGACAAAAGAGATCAAAGAAATTTTGTTTTGAATTCAACCAAGACGAACACTATGACAGAGTGGTGCCATTTCATTCAAAAAGAAAAACTATTGGTCACAATAACTATTAAAATAAAATAAATTAAAATAAACAATGAAACTACCAATGAGCTAGTGTTGGACATACGTATTTCACGGGTTTAATGGATAAATATTGTCAACCAGCACACATTATAATGAACTTTTCAGCTTCTATTGATCTATGTTTAGCAGACACAGCTTAAAAACCGCTGCGCGTGCGCGAAAATTCCGTGCTTCAGAATACACACATTATAATAAACTTTTCAGCTTCTATTGATCTATGTTTAGCATGTTTTAGCATATGACAAGAGGTTGCTAACCTTTATAGACCTGTTAAGTGTGAGATGTAATTCGAACGAAAAAGGACTTTCCGGTCCAAATTAATAATTACTTCTACAGACATTTTTTCTATTTTGTTTTCTTCATAGCAGGATTTTCTGTTCATATATCTAATTGTTGAAGGTAGAGAATAAATCCTGGGAATAAGTATGGCAAGATGCTGTACCGTTACCATGGAAATTGATTATAAAAAACGAACCGCTTGTCAACCTTATCGTCCGATTTGTCAGTTTTCTTCGGACAGTAAGACTTAACTAAAGTAAACTCGCTTTGAAATTTATAATCATTAAAGGTTGAAAGGTTGTTAAATATCTAGTAATTTGGGTTAAAAGAATTCCATTCCTTTTAAAAAGACTAATGTAAACTAATGATAATATTTCGTTGGCACAACTGAACGGCTCAAAATAAATGAGCTGTTTAGTGCTGTTAGGAATGTGTTTTTAGTACCAACGAAGTTTTTGTCCCGATCTTTGACGACGCTTAGCACGCCGACAAAATGCGCGCGAAAACGACCGAAAGGGCAAATGGGTCAAATTGGTATAAAAAATATTCCTACATTAAATTCAGTTGCCATCTTTTAATATGCACAGACATGCACTTGCTTTTCAGACATTGAGTAATAATACCTTTTTCCGTTCCTTTGATGTGCGAAAAACCCCGTGACATCGACAGCAAATAATTCGACAGCAAGTATTCCTTGTACGTGTTTTGGAACGCACTTTTCTTATGGTTGGAATTCAGTAATGAGATTTCCATATGTCACTAATTCTTCTGTTTTTATTAATCACCCATCCATCCACTCGATACTGACTTCCCAATAATATCAAGTTTCACTGGCGACATCGCTATCTCACACTAACAGCAACACTAGAATGAACGGCGCTGAAGAAAAACAACTAATAGGACAGCCAAGACAAGCGTTTGTTGAAGAGAGATTAAACGATGCTAAACAAGAAGTGGCTGTTCAGAATCCCAACAGAGGAAAAAGAAAAAAATGTCTCATCTTTGTTGTGGTTTTGATCATTTGTTTAGTTACCGCGGTAACAATAACCTTGGTACTTCTGCTCAAAGACGATAAGCCCAGCACAGGTAAAATATAGCGTTATTATATAGATATAAAACTGATATTAATATACAATAAATGAGCAGAAAATAAAGCCTGCCTTAACAGCAAATCTCAATGCATACACGCTTAGTCTATTTGATTCACGATTGTTTTGAGCATGGAGCGATCAAATTACTAGGTTAAAAAAGTAACTCGGTCAAAAATACTTAAAAAGTATACTGTTCTCGGGGCCCTCATGCAGTTCTTGGTCATATTTGTAATCTATCCGGCTGAGCCGGTAAATGAGCTATATAGATCTTAATGCGATTAATGACCCTAATGTCTTCCATGTTCGATATCGTGAACGTTAGCAAACGGTAGGACACCGGTGTTTTAGTATCTGTTCTTATGTTAAGAAGAGATAACTAGCTAAAAACTAGTGTGAGCTGCGTCGGTGTTTCTAATGAAACATTAATGATAAAAAGGTAAATTATACACCGTGAAAAGATGAAAAAACTTACTGACGTTTCGGACGCTAGTCCTTTCGTTAATAATAAATATGAGGAAACAAACCAAGGTTGTCCATTGGATAGTTTCTATGCTTTCTGAGGGAAGTTTTTTTATGTATGTTTTAAAAATTAATGCTTAGTTAATGAATGGCAATCTCATTACTGTGAAATGAAAATAATACTTAAGGGAATGCCTATTGATAAATCATGGTTTTTACTTGCGTAGGACTAGCGTCCGAAACGTCGGTAAGTTTTTCATTTTTTCGTCTTTTCACGGTGTATAATTTACCTTTTTATCATTACTGTTCTTATGTTAATTAGTTTGTCAAAACAGACGGGGGAGGGGGATATCATAAAATATTTGAAATGCAAGACACTAGAATCTTCTTAAAATGCCTTTTATAACGTCGATTTCCCTGGCATGAAAAAAATATAGATATATATTATATACCTATCCTATATATATGTATCCTAAATGTCTGAAATATTTCAACATGGTTAAATTAGGTTTGACCGGGGGTTTGATGAGTGACCTTACCGTAGGTCTTGATGTGTTTGGATGTTGAATTGTATTGAGTAACGCTGTCAACGCGTGCCCCGACGCATCTGACCATCAGGGACTGGACCATTAGATAATTGAGGGGGTGTTGCAGGAATTTACGTTGCACGATTTTTGTAACAACCCCTGGACGAATTGCTTTTTGTGTTTGCTCGGTATTTCTTAACTGGAAGGCAGACTGGAAGGTAAGGTTGCCGATATTTTTTTCGTAGGTGAAGTGCTTGCTCGATATTTCCTAATGGTCCGTCCTTTATCAGAAGGCGCGTTACTGATCGGTTGATGTTTTTTATCTAGGAATTAAGACAGCATTGGCATCGTCTAATTCCACAGGAAGACCACCAACAGGTCTAGGAATTAAGACGGCATTGCCATCGTCTAATTCCACAGGAAGACCACCAACAGGTAATTAATGACTTTTAGTTATCTAGAAGTAGGGAGGGATTATGTAACTTGAAGGGAACACTTTTTCCTTCTTGCCCCTCTCGTCGTAATTTCTTTCTTTCTTTCTTTTTTTTTTTTTCATTTGTATTTTGCTGCCGGTAGTGACAATTTCCCTTCCTCTTTAATACCACCACTTCCCCTTAAAACAATGGTCGTTCCTTTGGATCAGATAGTTTATGACTCATAATAACTCATCTTTTTCTAGAAAACTGGAGTAATTGGACGAGCTGCAGTGTAACTTGCGGTAACGGATTTCGACAGCGCTTGCGTGGATGCCCGCAAAGTTCAAACTGCAGCAACTCCAGCGGTGAAGTAAGTACAAGTTCTTGTGTTATGCCGACCTGTCCTGAGCCTGCGACATGGGAGCAATGGAGTCAGTGGTCGCAGTGTAGTGTAACATGCGCAAGCGGAGTGCAAGCTCGAAATCGCACCTGCACAGGAAGTAATAACGCAACCAAGTGCCAGGGAAGTTCTCAAGAGACGCGAGGATGTACGCTTCCGGCTTGTCCAAGTGAGTAATTAGTCTTTAATTAGTAACATGTGCCGGTAGTGAAAGAGGACTGCCGAGGGAGGGGAGGGTAGGGGGAGAAGAAGGTGGTCCCTTCAGCTCAAAGACGGTGTTTTTGAAATGTTATTGTCAATAAGAAGACGAAATATCTGCTTGGCTGAGAATCTGTCAATCACATATCGAATAGAAACACTTTTTTTTCAACACCCCCCCCCCCCCCCTATAATGGATGGAATTCGAAAGACAAAGGCTTTTGAGTAACGTATCGAATTTAATTCCTTAACGAATAGACCCGGTCAAACGAAACCTGATCTGCTTTTCTCTCGCTTTTTCTTCGACAGGAAAAGATTGCCTGGACTTGTTTTTGTCCAGAGTAAATCGTGATGGGATATACACTATAGATCCAGACAATCAAGGACCCTTTCAAGTCTACTGTGACATGACAACTGACGGAGGGGGGTGGACTGTGTTCCAGAGAAGACTAGACGGATCTGAAGATTTCTTCCGTAATTGGACCGAATACAAAACCGGCTTCGGAAACCTGTCAGGCGAGTTTTGGCTGGGTAATGATAAGATCCATCGACTGACAGCCAATCAGTTGACGCGTCTCAGTGTTGATTTACAGGCCTTTAGTGGTGGGCTTAAGAATGCCACTTACGAAAAGTTCCGAGTCGAAAATGAAACGCTGAATTACACCCTGACAGTCGAATCATACTCGGGAAACGCGGGCGACTCATTCACTCAACAAAATGGGATGAAATTTACTACCAAGGATAGAGACAATGATAAAGAGGGTCCGTCTAACTGTGCCGTGGGATATCCCGGGGGTTGGTGGTTTAAAGCCTGTCTTCCTGTCAACCTCAATGGAAAATATGTCGGCAATAGCAGGGACCGTCAAGGTATTATATGGCTTAGGATATCGACTGCCGCGTTTAATTCTCTGAAATACACGCAAATGAGAATTCGCCGACGTTAATTCAGGGTAAAAGAGACCTTTAGGATCAGGTTTACCGCTAACCGTTAGGGATCAGGCCCAGAAACACGCACGCAAACACGGAGAAACACTCAGCATCAATGAAATTCAATATGGCGGCTTTTCTAGCAACAACTTCGTTATGACGCCTTGCTAAATGTTGAAAGTTTGACGGAAAACACCTGACGTCGAACTGCAGTTTGAGGTTTGTGACTCCTACCAAGAAGGTCGTGCCAGAGGTTTCTAATGTAACTGCAACTGTAACGTTCCACTATCGTGACCATCATCCTGGCAACCAGTTACCATTCCAATAACATAGTATTCTTGGAGCAATGCTGATGTTATGCTGCAAGCTGCGGATTAGCCATTCCGAGGTTGCAGATAACAACAGGGTCAAGCTGGCATTGCAGTGTGCATTGTGGGAATGTTTAGGGGATATATTTTCGAGGTGGCATGCATTTCGTCTACGGTTTGTAATTATATGCAAAGTAGGACATTTTTCGGCCCTCCCCACAAAAAAATATTTTTCTTATGCACTTTTATCAGATACGTGTACTTTCGGAGGTACTTTTTTTATCGTAGGTTCATATTGTTTTCGGAGTTACATTTTTTTGGGGGAGCTACATTTTTTTCGGAAGTACATTTTTTTCGGAGGATAATTTTTTTATAGTAGACCAGCATCCCTTGCGAGTCCTAATTTATTACACACAGCGGACAAAATGGCGGACATTCGGGTTGTTGTAGCCCGAAGATCCAGGGAAGTGGCCTTGGAAATATCTAGTTTCTTAGCTGAACCAACTATTGACTCAGAAAAGATGAAAGTAATACACAGTGCACTGCAATACCAACTTGACCCAGTTTTTATCTGCCACCTCGGAATGGCTAATAGTGCTGCGGGACTAAAATTAGGTCTTTCTACCTTACGTTACTATGCTAAGCGTGTCAATTTTTTTGTTTTACAGTTTGTCATACTCTTATTATAAGCTTATTATAATCTTGGTGGAATTTTGAATTGATTATCGTTTCAAACGTGTACATTTAATGGCTCCCAGCTATAGCTAGAACTGCGTTGTGTTTTTGGTCAGAACATAAACCGTGATTTAACTTTTTGAAGTGGAATTTCATACTATAAAAATTCATCTTACATTATTGGTATTTGTAAGATGCCGCATGAAGAAGTTTGAATATGTTACGTTTCTCTGTTTGAGTTTTTTGCACGCTTTTCTTTATATTTTTTTGTGCACGCTTTTTTCTATTTTAAGATATCTCTCAGGAWTTGCTACTATAAATTTAGTTCAACTCCTTTAGTCAATACTTTAGTTTTCATCGCGGGCGCTACRACACTGAGGTAAGTGAATTCGTCTTTTTGCACTTTTTTGCCGTTTTACGTTTATGCAGCCTTATTATGGCTAGTTTTTTTTCTGTTTATTTTATTCATAACTTTAAACCATATTATGTACGAGTTTGACGGGTATATGATACAGTCGTAAATATAGTAGAATTTACAGTAGTTCGACCTGTTAAGAGTTCTTAGGCGTATCTATTCAATGTCTAATATTCGATTCTAAATTRAACGAGTGTTTCTAAAAATGTCTTTTTGTAGTAAAAATATAAGACAGCTTGGTATAAAGTCTTCAATTGACCAATGAAATCTTCTGTTGCATGCTCCTTTTCACTGGTATCGTCACTGGTATCTGAAGTGATCCAACCTAGCAACCAGTCAGGACACTGCCACAAGCAAGGAACCTATAAATGTATTTTAATAACACCTGTTAACTATATCGATGATAAATTATGAATTAATTGGAGAAAATTCTTCACAACACGCTGCCAAAAGCTAAAAAAAAGTTGTTTTTAAAGTAGTGCTTTTTCATATGTCAAAAGATGTCAGTTCACGAAATCATGGTCATGCAGAGATTCAAGTTGTTGTTGGTCATCTTGAGTGTCGCGGTTTTTGGAACCTTTGTCAAGATCAGAAGTTCGAGTAAACTAAGTCAAGAACATTCTCCAAATAAAAGGTAAGAAGTAAACTATAAGTTCAAAAGTCTTCTCTATTGATGGATTGCAAGCATCCCTAAGAGAGTTAAAAGACAAAAACATGGCGGCCATTGTGGTGCGGTTAACAATGGATGCTATAAGAATATTTTGTTATATGGCACCAACGCTCCCCCGAGAGGTCGCGATGACGTAACGTGCAATCGAAGAATACCAAGATGTACATGATTTTGTCTCGGATTTCATTCAAATTAGGAGGTATTTGGAACCTCGGGAGGCCGAACTTAATTTGTACAGTATTAAACTATCAAATTGGGCTGATCCTCGCAGTATATGAAGCATCTTGTGCAGCTGCAAATTGAAAGACTCAGAAATATATATATATATATATCATATATATTCTCATACACATACCTCTCCTATCGGGCCGATAAACCAACCTCATGTGTCCTTGAAGTCTCATATGAGACTAGGTAGCTCAGTGGTTGGAGTATGGCACCGGAATCGCCAGGGCACGTTCAAGACTCGGACTTTTTCTGAGTCTTTCAATTCGCAGCTGCATAAGTTGCTTCATACACTGCGAGGATCAGCTCAATTTGATACATTACGACCGCAGTACAGATATATATTTCATATATATTCTCATCCACAATATTAAACTGCTTTCATTGGACTTGCAATTTAGATTTTACCTTCGAGCGGCTAGTTGCTTATAAACACTTTGACCTCACAATGAAATGTTCAAATCAAATGCTCAAATCGATCCTGGACAGAAACCCATAATATATTGTTTTAAAAATAATCAATATTATAAACTAAAGTCTGATCTGATATTAACAGCACTAATGTTCCACAGCCCCCTTCTACAGCCCCTCTTCTACAGCCCCCTTTCTACAGCCTCCCTCTACAGCCCCCCTTCTACAGCCTCCCTCTACAGCCCCCTTCTACAGCCTCCCTCTACAGCCCCAATTCTACAGCCTCCCTCTTCTACAGCCCGCTTCTACAGCCCCTCTTCTACAGCCCCCCTTCTACAGCCCACAATTTTATACTTAGCTTCACCTGAGATTTGTATTTAACTAGTCCTAGTTATCTTTAAAACAACTGAACTCGACTATACTCTTAGCTCCTACGCCGGCGGCATTAGTGTCGTCAAGCAACGCTTTGTAGGGGAGTAAGCRTTGCGTGATGACACTAATAGCGGCTCCGTAGGAGACTACTATACACTTTGATTGCCTCAAGTTTTAACAAACTTTGAATTAATTTCTTTACAATTTTTTTATTATACAAGGTTTCGAAGTTCAAGAACTGCTAACACCGCTGTCCAACCTGATAGGAAGACCGCTGTCCAGTCGTTTCCACTACAAAACTTGATGACAAAGRTTCAACAAAAGCGTCCACTGCACATGGTTGTTATAGGAGGATCTAATACAGCAGGAGGAGGAATGCATTACGAAAATGAAATATATTACAATATATTTACCAGTTGGTGGAACAGAGAAATAAGCAAAACCACTGGCTCTAGTCTGCAGGCTCATAAAATCGCCATCGGCGGAACCGGAAGTGATTTTTTTTCTTTCTGTTTTCAAAACTTCTTACCCAAGGAGCAACCAGACATGGTATTGGTCGAGCTGTCTGTTAATGATTATGGATATAARTATGGCGAGGCTGCTAAGCCCATGGAGCTATTGACTCGTAGACTTCTTTCACTGCCGTCGAAACCCCTCGTGATGTATGTACACTTGGTTGATAGAGGTATGTATTGGAAGAATGTCACGAACACTGGCTGTGCTAACATGGAAGACCTTGGATTTACTAAGCTAGCAGAGCATTATGGGATTCCTTCGTTCAGTTGGCGCGACTTTTTATGTCCGCTGACCAGTTCTGGCAGTCGAGAGAAAATGAACWYCGAAACGAATATGTTTAATAAGGACGGGTCACACATTGGTAGTAAAGCGCATGCGCAGGTCGCATCTAAGATAATCGAGTATTTCAAGGAAAGTTTTACATCGTATTTACCTGGACAAAAAAGAAGCTTTGGYGATTCTCAGTTGACTGACTCATTAATCGAGCCAGTTTTCTTGAAGTCTTCCTTCAGCAACACAGATGTGGCTTATTCACAGTGTCTGTCCTTTCTGACATCAGACTGGAGGATCCCACTCCGACAATCTCTGACATTCAAGGTGACGCATTCTAAGGACTTCAAGTTCGTATCACCAGCAACTTCGAAGAAAGTCACGAAGCACTTGCCATTCCGCACTGATGCGTACGGGTGCTGGGCATCCGAGTCCAAAAATGGTTTACTCAAAATTCAATTCCTTGTCTACGATAAAGGTCTACCAACTCGCTCAGTTGCTGTGATCTTCAGGACAAAGGACAACCACGCGTCCACGAAGATCTGGCTAGATGACGACCAGAAGTCCTCCATTACTGTCGACAGCAATAAATGTGGACATCACATGTACCAAACTCGATTAGAACCCTTAGCAACGGGAATCTCCCCTGGTTACCATACTCTTAATGTTATTTCTAACGGAGGTGGATGGTTTGAGGTCAGCGGTATCGTGGTTGGGTATCCGAGTTACCAAGGTTACGAGGGTTACAGACCGTTTGACGTCAAAGCAAAGATGTGGAGTCTTGAAAAGTTTGATAAACTTCGCTGTTAAACCATTTTGTATATGACTATTCATGATATCAATATTGAAAAAAAAAACAAACAATTTATTAGCACCCTGTTTACTTTGCCTAGCCATACAAGCTTAAAAACATACAAAGGAGCTACGTCGACGATACGGTAGCCTGCGTCACATCCGGAATTTTCTTCGAAAATTAACGAAGAAAAATTCCAGATGTGACGCAGGCTACGATACGGTGGCCATATTGGATTGCGAGGCATTATATTGCGTCCAGGGGACAAATAGAAGGTTCGTTAAATTAATGAAGTCCATTGATATCGACAGCTTACCAGAAGAAAATGCAGCAAAAGATAAATTAAGTCTTTACCGCCTGACAAGATGGCCGCCGTATCGTGAAAGTAGTCTTATCAGTCCCGCTGTAATCTTGTTCAAAGTGGCTCTATTTTTGATCGGGAAATGCATCGGAACCGACATGCTAATTTGAAAGAAATCATTATAAACAAGTCAAGTTTACATTTCATTACGACCAGGGTTACCATAACAACACAGTCACATTTTATACATTCCTATTTCAGCGAGCCATTTCATCGAAATAAGACGTCTGTTTAAAAAAATGGTTTAAGAGCACTTCAAGTTGAAATGATTATCTTGAAGGTAACGAAATTTCGACGATTTCTATGGACGCGTTTAGAAATAAAGGCAGTCGGAAGTTTCTTTGTGGCAGCAAAATATAACGATCCAAAGCAATTAGTTCATGTAGCCGAAAACCCTCTTTCTAGACTCAGGGAAAGTTTGTTAAGTATCGTAGTGTTGCGTCACCATTTCACTAGTCGTTTTGAAAAATGAACTGAAATCGCTTTTTTCGATTTCCGTAAACTTGCCAGGCAAGTTACTAAAGTTGTTCCTTTTGATCTTTTGTCAAAGATTTCAATTGTCTGTATAAATTTGGTTGATTCTATAGTAAAATTCATTGGCTTAGATATCATAGCCATAGCGATAGCTTTGCAGTCAAGGGTTTGAGATTCGGAGCCTGAATTCTGTGACATCTTTGAGAACATATATCCAGAGGGAGAAATTCACAAAAATTCAAACAAATTTAGAAACCACATCACCATGACAACACTGGAATATTAACCTGAAATACCCGCTTGTATACATCACTTCTAGCCAATCAGCGCTCGCATTTAAAAAGCGCTATGTCAAATTGGGATGAGATATAGCTTAGCTTAGCTTAGGCTGCTCAAGTATGTGAGAACATGACGTCATCAGCAAAAATGGCCACCATTTTTAAAACTCCAATGTCTTTTGAAGGGAAAAAATTTTTTTTGGAAAAGGAAAGTGATATTTCACATCATCAAATGCCTTTCAATCCAGGCAAAAAAAGAGCAAGTCAGAAATTTCATCATAGTAGCACTATAATCAGTGAGCCATGAATTAAATACTAGTTTGAACATGACACTACTAAGCTCCGATTATTCCAACGCTATCATGCATGAACAAGGCATAACGAAACAAAAGTAACGTTGGAAGCCTTCTATTTAAAAGCAGCAAAAGGGAAATAGACAATATTCAAGAAAAAAATGAAAGAAAAATACAGATGTTTCTTAGTTTTTCTGAGCGTTTTGGTTTGGAAATTGGGTGCGATGCAAATAAGAAAAAAGGCGAGCATGACGAGGGAGTACAACTATGCTGCTTCACAACATTTGACAAGGTATTGTATTACGAGAATTTATTCATTATGAGACAAGATCCTATGAGTACCGACAGATTGGTGCTTTTTAAAAATATTAATCTATATTTGAAATCAAGTAATAACTAGACATCAACTTTAAGATTTTTGCTGGCAGACAGGTATTAAACAAAAGCCATTGCAATCAAAACGAACAAAAGGTAACAGTTTTGACGATACTTGAAAATTAATTTTGGCAAGTAACGATAACTTAAACTACAAATAACCCTTATCATAAAATACGCAAAAGAAGAAATAGGCTACAATCCCGCACTTGGCATCATTTTAAAATTTATTCAAAAAAAGTTTTTTTCATTTATTGCCTCACTGTTAAAATCTTCAGCTCTTTAATGTTTGATTCATTTCAGCACGATACCAGGATACGAAGCAGGTGCAAAATCCTCTCTATATAACGGTGTTCCCTCACAACACCATAAAACTACCGCCTTACAGTCTCTTCTCACAGATTCACTCTGGACGCCCGTTGAATATGATCACAATAGGAGGCTCCAATTCTGCTGGGGGAGGAGTCAAGAATACCAATCAACTGTTTTACAATCTATTCACTGATTGGTGGAATAGAAACATCTACGCCATGAGTGAATCACAGCTGACGTCACACTCAATGGCCATCGGCGGAACCAGTAGTGATTTTTTTTCTTTCTGTTTTCAAAACCTCTTACCCAAGGAGCAACCAGACATGGTATTGGTCGAATTGTCTGTTAATGATTATGGATATAGATATGGCGAGGCTGCTAAGCCCATGGAGCTATTGACTCGTAGACTTCTTTCACTGCCGTCGAAACCCCTCGTGATGTATGTGCACGTGGTCAATA